CCAGTTAGTTACACTTAACGCTGCAAGGGCTTTACCCTTGAGGTTTTCTCTGCCTGGAATGCTCAGCTCTCTAAAGTCTAAATGGATTGCATCTTCGTGCTCTAAGACCCTTACACGTCACCTTCTTAGTGAGAGCCCAATCTGAACACCTACCTGAATTGCAATTCTACTATCGCTGACATGTTCTACCCAGAGCCCTTTTCTGTATTTTCTTTTTAGAAGTAACTATTAACAGACTTTTATATTTTATTTACCACATTATTTGCTTTTCCTACTCATGTGAACATAAGTATAGGAATTTGTGTGTATTTTTTTCACTGATGTATTTATAGATATAAGGTGTTAGTAATTATTTATTGAATGAATGAATGATCTTGTGGGAACTTGAGCTAAATTATAGTAAATTGAATAATGTCAGATAAAAATTTGAAAAGGGCTGAGGGAATTGAACCCTTAGTTCAATTACCAGCAAAATCAGACCTTCCCCCTAATCTAAGGAAATCAAATATTAATTTAGAAAAAACACTTTTAATTTCTTAACATTAGAGGGAATTTCCTCCTATCCTTTATGGGAAAGGATCTTAATGTAATAAAAAGGAGGATTTCATATAAATTTGTTTTAGGCTAAATGTGTCAATATGTGTTCAATTACTTGAAATTTAGGAATTAAAATGTTAGCCCCAGTCCCTAGGATGGAACGTAACAGTTTGGTTTGTTGGTTAACGAAAACCTGGACTTAATAATGGCCTACAGTTAATGAGGTTAAGATGCCAGAATGTCCCTGGCATGCTATACAGAGAAAAGAGTCCAAACGTTTGGAAAATAGAAATCTTGAAGTAAATGTATCATGTTCATCCTGCTCAGAATCCCTAACCATATGAACATTTAACTAATTAACCTGGTGAAGAGATGTAGTAAGCTCTCTCTATGCTTTAATGAGATACATTTATACCAGAGTGCAGGCAGTGCACCCTGAGAAAGTTAGGGGCTGCCATATCAGTGACTTTCTCCAGTACATGAGGGATGTGGGGGCCATTCCTCCAAAATGAAAGACAACTTAATATATCTTGTATTGCCATTTGGGAAGAAAGAAGCCAAACTGTAATATGTTGGGGTTTTATTGAATTTTAAATTGTGCTGTTCTGTCTCATTTACTGGGAAATCCATAAAGCTGTCAGTTCTGAGTGGAACTCAAAGCAAGAAAAGGCTCTGCAGCAGACCAAGTAAGAGATGCAAGCTGCTCTGTCATTATACCTAAAGACACAACACAGTTAATATTGAAGACAATCTGTGGGGAAGACAACAATGCTGAATGAGGTCTCTACCAAGCCCTAATTGGACAATTGAGTACAGAGCCCATGCCTCTTCCTCCTGTCACATACTGGGCCTATATTATTCATAAAATCATTATGTTTGATATTAGCAGCATCACCTCATTGTAAAACAGATATGCTATATGTGGGACGAACCTCCAGAGTTTTACAATACACAAGTAATTAACATAACCAGATGGCTCAAACTCCCAAATACTCTTACAGTTTCACCACTTCTTACTTAATCCACACACAGGTGCTCATACTGCATTCTTAAGTAGCAGAAAACTGAAAAGGAAAAAGCATAAACCTGGTTTACAGATGTATGCACACAGTAGCATGTTCCATCTTAAAGTACATAGTTGCTACATTGCAGTAGAAAGCAGTGGAGAAGAGAAATCTTTTTTTAAGCAGAATGTCAAGCAGTACATCTAGTAACTGTCTTGCATGTATATTTTTTAAGTTGATGTATGGTTTTGATGTACATTGAATCATAGGTGGAGACTAAGTCTTGTCTTGTTGGAAACAAAATAATAAAATTAGAATATTTGCAATAAAAAGGATTGGGAAGACATATATGGATGGGCATTCTAGGATGATGAAAAGGGAAGAATTCATGTACTGACTAGACATTTTTCAGAACTATCGATCATATTAGAGACTTTCAATAATCAGGTAGACAAGATAAACTATCCTGTTGATGTCATTCAACCCCATTTCTTCAAGTATTCCATTGCCTTCTCAGTAGATCCAGGTACAAAAAGGACATGCAGGCAGAGATATGGGATAGGCATAGTCTCAAAAACATGAGCTTTCCCTCCTTGAGGTCAGTTTGGCAACCACCTGTCAACCTGTCAACGGATGTTGCAATTAGATTACTCTTGATCGTTTTCCTCAGGTGTGAGGTGGTAACGTGTCTTCATGGGAATAAGTACATACAAACTTGGCTTCCATGTCTGAAATACTTCCAGAACATCCATTAGTGGATTTACAGAATGCCTTATTTATGACCATGTTATCTTGCACATCATAGTCTCCAAACAAACTCATTTTACAGTCACAGAAATACAACAATGAGCTCATGTTCAAGGGATTCACTGGTTTTAAAACAAACTCCTCGTTCAGAGGAGAAAAGGTTGATAAAATAGTGTATTAGCCCATTGAAGAGTCAATTACATCCTGCACCTACACTGTACTCTATACTTGCCATTTCTCTTTAACTAGTATAAACTTGGGAATCTAGAAGAAGATGGGACTTTTTCCCTGACACATTTAATAACCTATTGGGACAATTTACTGCTCATTGCTGCCACCTTGGGCTTGGTGGGTTTGGAAGTATAAGTGGCCAAAGGAGGAGCTCATATACTCTAGTCATGGTTCCATTACATAGGAAGCTGAGACCACACCCTGTCTATTTGGGGCTTCTTCTGCTACTGAAATAGGATTAGAGAATACAGCTAGTGCTCGACTTACAACCACGATTGGTTCCGACAGACCGGTCGTAACACGATTTGGTCGTAAGTTGAGTAGGCTATATGTACAGTACTGAGAAATGATGTTATAAAAATCTTTAAGTCATATTTTATCATAATTTTCTTTCATTATTGTTATATATCATAATTTTCTTTGTTCATTTTATGCCATTTGTATCATCTGTACACCATTTTGTTTCTTATTTTTACATTCATCAGGTTTAAGTAAAACACTGCATTACCAGTACAACGGGTTTAATATTTGCAAAACATACAAAATTACAAAATACAGGTGCATACAAAAATACAAAATACAGGTGTAAAAAATACCATAGGAAACATTTTCCCAATTGCAAAACATATCAAAATATATAAACATGTACGAAACATTTTATTGGCCGCTGGTACTTGGCTGCAGATCGTTGATGTCGTCATCTGAGGCAGCAGCTGGGGTTACCGGAGTTGGTTTTTTCATAAACATGGTGAGCTTTGTCTGAATTGTATGTTTCTTTTTTTCTTCATAAATTTCATGATATGGATGAAACACATCGTGCGCCATCCGTTCAATCCTTGCAAATCGTTTGAGGTTTGGGTCCATTGCTTCGAAATGTATAAGAAGTTTATTCAGTAAAGATAAACCGTCTGATAATCCCTTAGTGATGAACTTTCTTTCTGGCTCCTCCTCTTCTTTGCTTCTCTTCTTTCTTCTTCTGCCACTCTTTCTTCTTCCAGTTTGATTAGCTCTTCATTTGTAAGTTCTCCAGATTCTTTGTCTAGCAACTCTTCGACATCTTCCATTTCACACTCCAAAGAAAGGTCTTTAGCGAGTTTTACTATTTTTTCCCAAGTTGTTTCAAGTTTATGTTCACTGTCAAATCCATCAAAATCATTAACATAGCGCTTAACACAATTTTTCTAGATGCCATTCACGCATTTTGTCATCACAGCCTCCCAGGTGGTAGCGATATTCTTGATACACATCAAAATGTTGTAGTGTTTCCAAAAATCTCTCAACGTTTGTTCTGAGTCAGCATCTATAGCGGATATTGCTTGAGTGAAGGTGGTTCGGAGATAGTTGGCCTTTAATGTAGCAATCGAACCTTGGCCCATAGGCTAGATGAGTGGAGTCATGTTTGGTGGAAGAAAAACAAATTTTACATCTGGATGGAGATCGCCTAGATGTGGTGGGTGTACAGGCGCATTATCGAGTAGCAATATAACCTTGAAAGGAATGTCTTTCTCCAAACAATATTCTCGAACTTGAGGAATAAAACAGTTCACAAACCAGTCTTCAAACAATCCTTGTGTCATCCATGCTTTACGTTGAGAACGAAAGTAGACGGGCAGTGTGTGCTTGTTAACATTCTTGAACGCAGGCGGGTTCTCTGAGTGATAAATTAAGAATGGCTTCAGCTTAAACTAAACCCTGCAATGTTCCCGCCAAGCAGCAGAGTTAGCCTATCCTTAAACGCTTTAAATCCTGGCATGATTTTGGCCTCTTTGTGAATATAAGTGCGTGCTGGCATCCGTTTCCAAAATAATCCAGTTTCATCAACATTGAAAATCTGTTCTGCTAGACATCCCTCATCTGTAATTAATTCATCCAGACTATCAACAAACTTACATGCTCCTTCCTCATCCACACTTGCTGCTTCTCCAGTCACTTGAACACCGTGCATTTGGAATCTTTTCCTGAATCTCTGGAACCAGCCAGTGCTTGCTACAAATTCTTGACTGTAATCTTCTCAAGCACGCTCCTTCAGAGTCTGAAATAGACTTCTCGCCTTCATCTGCACAGTAAAAAGACTTAATGGCGTCCGTTTTTGAATTTGATCTTCCATCCAAATATATAGCAATTTCTCCATTTCGTGGATGGGCCCACTTCGTTGCTTTGTTATAACTGTTGATCGCATGGGTGCAGAACCTTTCACAGCTTCAAGAATTCTTTATCTTTATCGTCAACACAGTCGAGTGTGATAACTTTGTATCACGTGCGATCACATTCACTTTCTTTCCTCCTTCGTACTGCTTAATTCCCTTCATTTTCGTGTCAAGATTGATGGCCTTTCTTTCCTTCTCAGCAGGCTGAGGCATAGACAAAGACAATTTCTTCTTGGTAGACATCTTGGGAGGGGGTTGATGAAAAATATCCAAGACACAAAACACAAATTGCTGTACTGAGTCTGGGATAACAGTTGAAATGGTGCACGCAGAGATGGTAGTGCTGCCGGAAGCCGGTCCGCATTGTTGTACGCCCAGCTGGGCAACGTTTGCACTGCCAGACGCGGAGCAGTCGTGGCTAGCGATTGTGGTCATAAAGTCGAATGGTTGTAAGTTGCATGGGTCGTAAGTCGATCAATAACTGTAAAGATCAGTCTTTTGGTCAGAGTGCTTAATCCCAATCATAAAGAAAGAATTGGTATGCAACTGCACCACCACAGCAAAGGAAGATGAATCCAGAGGATTCACTACGTGCCTGTTATTATTCTCATGTCCAGCAATAATTATCAGTGCAATAAGATCCACTGAAGACATAGATCCTAAAGAAATTCATATTTGGATTACTCTACTAGGTAAAGATGCCATGAGAGTAAGATGTGCTGTTTTGTACAGGTGAGATGCTGTCAGAGGTTAAGAACATGGAATAGTTGGTGTAAAAAGAGAGATAAAATTATCTGTTTAGGCATAGTGACCAGACACACAATTGAAAAATGTAGCAACTTAAGCTAACAATTATCTTTTCCTTTAATTCTTTGTTACATTTATCTAAGAAACACAGATAATGGTTTATGCTATACTTTTGGTTCCATGGGGAAGTATAAATAAATTGAGATTATCCCTCAATTACAGGACATCTTCCCTGGGCTGATGGCAGCTTTTTTTTCCTCTGAGCAAAGATTGGGAACAGATGAAGATTAGAAAAAAGAATAGAATGTGGCTAACAATCTCCTGTTTGTTCTTCTCCATCTTTAAGCTGTTTTCTGCACTTTGCTAATTGCTCTATGTCTTTAGAGCCTTGCCCTTTCAGTTCAGCCTTGACTCCGTAACCTCTAGCTTTTAGTAGAGTTTGACCAATGTAGACAGTAACAGGTGAGATCTAAGGGTTAGTGGTAAAAAATGGTTGGGTTACAATTCTTGTAGTTGCTACTTTTTCTCTCTATAGATGGGGTTCCTGTTGTGTGGGTCTAAATCAGACTAGGCTTTCATATTTTACCCCTTGCTTTGTCATGGATGGTAAAAGATTCAAACCCTTGGGTGCCTCAATATTCCCTTTTCTTTAATACCTGGCCATTCTTTAGAAGTTTATTTGTTACATTGATTTCAAAATCCCACAAGTGTGCCTTCTGTTTTCAATAGACTGTGACTAATAGTGCTAGTTTTATCAGAGACGGAAGAATAAGAGACTGCTTCTGCTTCCAAAGGAGTTGCAGAAAAATTCAGGGATTAAAGATTCTCAGGCTCCCTTGAGTACACAGGTGTCCCCACTCCACATCTTGCAGTTCTACTTTTTCCCCATTAATACCCTCACTTTACATAACATACTTGGTATAATTTCATGTTCATCTTGACTGGTGATTCTGCCACTTGTGCAATTAGATTTTAGGACTAACAACTGTATTTTCCCAGAAGCTTGAATAAGTAAAATATTCTTTCAAATGTTTTGAAGCTCTCTTTTTGCTTGCTCCCTGTGCCTTGAGTGTGGAGTTCAATGCTCTGAACTTGCTTTTTCTGCAATTTCTTGTGTCAGCAGAAGTGGTCATTCCACCTTACAATTTACATAAGCATCATTATTGTGATGGTGAATGATCAAGTGAATCTCCTCCTCAATTTCCTAGCCTTCCTTTTTATTGGCACTTTATTCCAAGCAACCATACGTGATCATTTATATAATTATAACACCCCTGCAAATCATTTATCAACAATATCCTGCTCATACAGTTAAGCAATTCATCTCAGAAATCCAATTGGAGGATTTTTATCTTGGGACTACCCCTAGTTTCAAGAATGTAATTAGTTAATTCAAACCAGGAAAGCGAATGCTACTCAGAATATTTAAAACACATCATGTAATTCAGGGAATCAGTTATGTTGTTAATGGAATAGCCAAGAAAGAAACAGGAAAATATGAAAGAGAGTCCAAGGTGAGCAGCAGCAGGAATCTTTTGCCGTTGCTACGCTAGAGGGACAAAGAGGAAGAGTGTTGTTTTCAAACCTCAGGAGCCTGGATCATTCACTGGAACCTGGACTCACAGGAGACGCGTCTTGAGGAAGCAGTTGTCAGCAATGGCACCTGACACTGCTTAAATTCCTTGTGGCCAAGTTCAACCAGAAGCCACTTGACTCGGGTGTCTAGAAAATGCAGCCTTGCATAGGACAGTGTTTTTTGATACTAATCTGAGTAGGAGAAAAGAGCGGAAGGCACCTGAGGTCAAACAAGCCAAGGAGTGACAGATTGTTAACTGGCTATGTAAAACTCCAGCTCACTTAGAAGATAATTAAGATCTGATTTCCTAAAACTTGTCAGAATAGGTCTCCACCCAGGTATTTACTTACTCTTTGTTTCCCAATGTAATTTCACTTTTATCTAGCGTGGTTTTGTAGAGAGTAAAGGTAACAATGCCAAGCAACTCATGTAAATATGACTTACTACTTTGACCAGGTGGAAAAATTGTTTAAACTTCGATGTTATTCAACAACAACAAAAACTGCTACTATTCCTAAATACACACAAATGCTTTCCACAAGTACTTCCCTTTCTATATGTTTGCAAGTTCTTACAAGAATTTGCAATCTACTGCTTTCAGTCATAACAGAGGCTTCAGAATCCATTCTCTACTGGTTAGGTGATATATGAATCTACAAGTAAATGATTCTGTGAGCCATTTCTTAGGCATCTGTAAAACTGGAAACGCGACATTTAAAATGGCCATAACTCAGTCCAATATGTGATGTTCTTTCAATCAATAGCTAACAAAGAATAGATTACTTAAGTAACCCTTAGCTGAAAGTCTCAGATAGATGTTGTCATTGTCTTTTGAGTAAAATTAATACCATCAGAAACAGAATGGGTTTATATTTATCATCAGAACAACATAAGTTTCTTCATTTTGTTGTTAAGACAATTTCCTATTATCTCTTTTGACTAATAATCAAGACCTTTCCGCTGCTTAACAAGATGAACTTATGCTAGAAATCTGAAGGTAGCCTTGTTGTCTTGTAGATAAGAATGTCACAGTCAGGTTTGATGTACATTTTTCTTTAAGCTTATAAACTGCTGCATGTGGCCATTTATAATTGTCAAATTAGTGTTCAGCCTTGGAAGCATTCTGCCAATGGTTAATCTTGCTTATTTTATGTGAATACATATGATATTTGCCTTCTCTCTCCGAGAAACTGTCTCTAGATTTTACCAGCAAATATTCAAAAATAGCGATTCCATGAACTTCCTGCAATTTATCCCAGTACTGTGAGATAATTCTTTCTAATCTGCTACCTTAGGCCAGATTCCTCTTGCACTATCTTCAGTAAAAAGAAAATTACTATTCACTGTTTCTCATAAGCCAGAGTCAGTTATTATTTCTTATCCCTTTTTCCTTTATCTTTGTAATTTCAATTCTACTTTCAATCAAATATATCCTCTCCTATTACTTATATATTAAGAAATATAACATTCTTACATAGACGCTGTGTGTCTCATAAGTTTTGTGTTTTTACACATGTATTTACATTCTTCAAATTTTCCTCAAAATCTAAAATATTACTCTTTTTTGCTTATTTCTCTTTTTCCTACAGAACTTTGCTCATACCTTTACTATAAATAAACTCAGGTTCTGTATATATATCTACTTCCTCACCATTCTCAAAGAGGAAGAATGAGAATTTCTTATCAGTGTCTTGGTTCAAAGTGCCTCTCAGAGCCTGGTACAGAGAAGTCAACAATTATTTGACCCACTAGATGAATGACTATAAGCATAAACGTACTAGTTACATGTAAAGGAGCAGGAAATTCCTAGACAGAAACTGTCAGCTTCTATATCTGACCCATATGTAGCTCTATATTAAATAATTATTTTACAGGTAGACTTAGACCAGTGATATTTTGTTCATATGGTAACTCATTATATATACACACCTCTTTTCAACTAATAGTGGGGTGGAAATTTTCTTATTATAGTAGAAACCCCCTACTATGTTTATCTAAATCCTCCCGTAATATACTATGAGATGCAAGTAAACAGCAAAAAATCTTGTTTTGTCACTATTACTTTGTTAGTGATTGACAGTGCTTAAGACATAGTAAATGTTCAGTATTTGTTGCAGCACTTAATATATTAATACTTATTTATAGAGATTATAGCCTATGTCCTTTATAACAGGTAGAATAACAGAGTGAATAGAACAGTAGCTTATAGTAGCCAAAGTGTAACTAAAAATATATTTAGAAAACATATATTCAGCTTCTGTTCTTAGTGATAAAGGAGATAATAGCTAATTATTTTTGATCATGTATAGTGGGAGCAGAAACAGTAATAAGGACTTTAAATAGATTGTATTTTTAATCTCCAAATGAGTATTTAAGGTAGAGAGTCTCCTATTTTGTAGATATGAAATCTGAAACACATAAAGACTGAGAAAATTACCCTAAATTATACACTTCATAACTGACCTTTTTAGGATTTAAATAAACATAGATTGACTCAATGCCCATAATCTTCCTTATGGGCATGCTATGTTAACTCTCAAAGCATAAAGGGAATATAATATTTTCAGTTAATGTTAATGTGCTGCAGGTAAAAATACAGGCTCAAGTGTTTGCATTAGCAAGGTGAGTCAAGTTGAAGATGTTCTTTCACTGTATTTGGTACATAAGTATATTTATTATGCTTTGAAATAAATTGTATTCTTCCAAAATGCAAGGGTGCCTTCTCAACCAAAGCAATACATGAGCTTTCAACAGCTTGCTGTAGAATGGTGCTGAACAACTATAACACACTCAGCAAAACTAGGGCACAAAATGAATCCTCTCCTCAGAAACTACCCATTGTTTTAACAGATGTGTTTGTGTATTTTCCTTCTTGAGGAAAAACTTTGCTAGGTTGCTTTGTAACTTTAATTTTCCACAAATAATCCATCGGAGTTTCATTTCAGCTCACAGCTATGCTATATAACTTTAAATTATTAAAAATCATTAACACATATAATAGGTACATATTTTAAGGAAATTTAACTTATAATAGACCATTAACTCAACATGTGACATTTACTATTTCCTCCCCAAACACTATTATTGTGAAAGTTAGATTATTTGTGAAATAATATGCAGTTATAT